TTATTAGATGGCAGTCTCCCTTGTGTGTATTCCTTGCTTTATTCCCAGAGGCCTTAAGACAGCCCATTTTCCCTTGAATATATCTGCTTTTATCCTTGAATATATATCTGCTTTCATAAGTAAACCTCTAATGCTTTGGATCTGGAGTGGGGAGAGGACAGGAAACAAAGACAATTAAATGTGATATTCTCAGTTTAAGGAGAGCACAATGTAAGTAAACTTTGGACTCCATTCCTCCACTGGCAATCTTCCCTAAATGAGCACACATCTGGCAACTTTCTTTTTTCCAATTCCCATTTATTTTTGGCTCTTGGGGCAATGTCATCTTTTCAATATGAAAAAAAGCAGCAAGTTCAACACAAATTAGAAATCTGAAGTGTAGGATAGAACAAAATCAACAGTAGGAAGGAAAAAGCAATAGCAAAAGAAATGAGATGTTCTTTAAAAAAGGGTTTTGTTGCCCCTCCTCTGGAAGTGACTCACATTTAGGTGGTAGTACATACCTTTCCACATATCAGACATATTACTCTTTGGAGGGGGGTGAAAAGGTGGGGGTTGGGGAGGACAATTCTGGAAGCTTAGGGACCAAGGCAGGCCTTCTCCTTTTTGAAATGCACTGAGAGGTAGAGCAGAAAGAGGAAGGATTCACACCTCTTCCTGAGTGGGGCAGATTCCTCTAAAGGGAGAGCACAACAGGGGACAGCTGAGAGGGAGGCTGCAAATGGAAATAATACTGTTAACACCTCTCCTGAAGCTGAGAGATGGAGCATGGAAGTGCCTAAAAATGACTGTAAAAGCATAGATTCCCCTCTTTAAAAAACTGTCCTAACATGAAAAATCCCATCCCCATCACAAGTGATTTCTACCTGCTGCTACCTTCTACCTTGTACTATTTTGCCTTAGGATGGTGGCCACTAAAAGCACATGGCTAGTTCTAAATGGGATCTGGACAAGAACCAGCTTCTTGGGAGAATCATTTTGGAAACAGAAGATATTAAATGGACAGATGTGAAAAGTAGATACCAGAAAGAAATGCAGGGTAATCCAGAATGGAAGAAATTTAAGTTTGCCAGAGTGGAAAGAGGAGACATTCAAGAAACAAATATTTATTGAGCGCCTAATATGGGTCAGGCACTGTTCTGCATGCCTCCCAAAAGGAAATAAAAAAGGAAAAAAGAAAAGGCAGTTAACACAAATTCTGAAGAAAGGGGCAGCGGAAGGCTGGGGAACTGAGAAGCCTGAGGTGATGGGGGAGCTGCCTTAGGCCTCCTCTTCAGCCTCCTCACCGAAATCCTCTTCCTCTTCTGCGGTGGCATCCTGGTACTGCTGGTACTCGGAGACAAGGTCATTCATGTTGCTCTCAGCCTCGGTGAACTCCATCTCGTCCATACCTTCACCTGTGTACCAGTGGAGGAAGGCCTTTCGGCGGAACATGGCAGTGAACTGCTCTGAGATGCGCTTGAAGAGCTCCTGGATGGCTGTGCTGTTGCCAATGAAGGTAACTGCCATCTTGAGGCCACGAGGTGGGATGTCACAGACAGCTGTCTTGACATTGTTGGGGATCCATTCCACAAAGTAGCTGCTATTCTTGTTCTGCACATTCAGCATCTGCTCATCTACCTCCTTCATGGACATCCGTCCACGGAAGACTGCAGCCACGGTGAGGTACCGACCATGGCGGGGGTCACAGGCAGCCATCATATTCTTCGCATCAAAGACCTGCTGGGTGAGTTCAGGCACAGTGAGGGCCCGATACTGCTGGCTTCCACGGCTGGTAAGAGGGGCAAAGCCAGGCATGAAGAAGTGGAGACGTGGGAAGGGCACCATGTTGACTGCCAACTTGCGGAGGTCAGCATTGAGCTGGCCAGGGAAGCGGAGGCAGGTAGTGACACCGCTCATGGTGGCTGAGACGAGGTGGTTCAGGTCTCCGTAGGTTGGTGTGGTCAGCTTCAGGGTACGGAAGCAGATGTCATAAAGGGCCTCGTTGTCAATGCAGTAGGTCTCATCAGTGTTCTCTACCAACTGATGGACAGAGAGGGTGGCATTGTAGGGCTCAACCACAGTATCAGACACTTTGGGTGAGGGTACTACACTGAAGGTGTTCATGATGCGGTCAGGATACTCTTCCCGGATCTTGCTAATGAGCAGGGTGCCCATTCCGGAGCCTGTGCCTCCTCCCAGTGAGTGGGTCAGCTGGAAGCCCTGCAGGCAGTCACAGCTCTCTGCCTCCTTCCGCACCACATCCAGGACTGAGTCAACCAGCTCAGCCCCTTCTGTATAGTGACCCTTGGCCCAGTTGTTACCTGCCCCAGACTGACCTGTAATGGGTTAGAGAGAAAGCTTAATTAATTATTTAAGGTTTGGAATGTACATGTTTCTACCTTTCAACTTTTAGCTCCTTTCTCTTTCACCTGTGATATATTTTCATAATATCCCAAATAGTCATTTGCCTCCACCCTCCATTTCAGATTTCCTGTAACTCTCCAGTGCAATAATCATCTAACTTTTGCTCTTTCTCGCACCTAAATATAAGAATATCACTAATAACATCTGCATAACTCACCAAAAACAAAGTTGTCTGGTCTGAAGATCTGGCCAAAAGGACCTGAGCGAACAGAGTCCATAGTCCCAGGTTCTAGATCCACCAGGATAGCACGAGGAACATATTTGCCACCTAGAGGGAATCAGGTAGATGTTTGAGAGCTGGCAGTGGGGAAGGTTAAGCGATTGCTGTTAGGAAACAGCCTCATATTTAAATTTGTCATGCCAAGCCCAGCCACCAGGTGGCAGCAGAGCTAGTCTTTGGCCCCTTTATGGTGGGTGTCTAAAGAACAAAATGATGGATTCATCCAAAAGGGACAATGGGCCCCCAAGAATGGAAACAGCGGAAACTCTGGCTCATGTCTGTAATCCCAGCTGCTTGGGAGACTGAGCCTACCCTGCTCTCACTAATTAGAGAGCAGCTTAGGGCAACTTAGGTAAGACAGTGTCTCAAAATACAATTAAAAAACAGATGGGCGTGGTGGCACCTTTAAACTCAGAGGCTTGGGAGGCGAGATCCTACCTCAAAAATAAAACATTTAAGCGCCCCTGGGTCCAATCCCTGGTACCATAAATTCATTAAAAAAGAACAAATAGAGATCCTATAGAAGTGTTAAAGAAATGAAACCCGACTTTCCTGGGCTCCTGCCCTCACCTGTGGCTTCATTGTAATACACGGAGATGCGGTCCAGCTGCAGGTCACTGTCCCCATGGTAGGTACCGGTGGGATCGATGCCGTGTTCATCACTGATCACCTCCCAGAACTGCCAAGGAAAAGCAATGAGCCTTAAGTAGTGCAAATCCCACGCAAATATGCCTCTTCACGTGATCTACATTCCAGATGGGTCGGTGGTAAGTCCTGTTCTAAGGCTTGGCATTCCGTTATCTGCTTGCCACACCTTTGCCCTAGACACTTGCACACTCAGGAAAGCGGCAGCTTTCGTTGCTCGGGTTGTTAAGATGATATGCTGCTGGAAGGCCTGGCGTTCGCTAAGTGGGAGTGAACGCATGGAAGGGCTACCCGTTCCCCTTGTAGGAACCGCCCCTTCATGCCGTTCTAAAAGGGCCGTGTCTGAGCCACCTAGGGCTTTTGCAGTCGACCACCCCCTCCCTCCACGTGATGGCAGCGCACGCGCACTTAAAGAATCCGACAAAAGGAGATGTAGCGCACGGGCGGGGCTCAAGGCAAATTCCGCGCGCTTAGGGGCGGGACTGCGCTCCAGCTAGCGCGTCCCCGCCGGCGGGCAGGGCTGCATTGTCCCCGCGCGCCGGGGGCGCCGGGGGCGCCTGGGCCCCCGCCCTTCGGCTACAACGTAGCAGCCGCACTTCCTCTCTGCCCCTCCCCCGCTACACTGTAACCGCGCGCAAAAAAAAAAAAAAAAAAAAAAAAAATCCCCCTAAGGCCTCGGAATTTTATTCTCTGGCTAGTTTTTTTTTTCCCTTTTCCCCCCAACTTGCATTATTCTTTCTCCAATATTTGGTACAGAGGGAATTACTTAATGGAAGCACTCCTTCCACCTTCTCCCTCTAAGAATGTGTTGACGCCCTAAAAGGTCTTAGAGGCAATGAAAGTTAAAGGAAGCCCCTATATATATTATTCTCCATCCACATAAAAAGACGGGAACGCCCCTCGGGGAATCGCAGAAACACCGAAGTCTCCGATCCTTTGTGAAGGTTGCGCGTAGTGTAGCCCACCCTGGTGCAGTGTTCCCCACCTTTGCACTGGGACTTTCAGCAGCTGCCCGCCCAGCCTCAACCCTTCCCCCGCCAGTTTTGCTCTACAAATCCCCGCCAAGCGGGGGGGAGGCGGGATCCACATGGGGAAAACCTAGCCTTGCTTTGTCTCGGACCGTTTCCGCATCACTCCTCCCTGGTCCTTGGACCGTTAGAAAAATCTCCTTTAAGGAAACCCTTACAGATCCTGGGTCTTCCAGGCCCCCAAACCTGAAAGGTCCTTTTAGTAGCACTCCCCCAAAAATGTGCCTGCCAAAATAAATTGCCCATCTTTTCAAAATCAAATGCTACTACAAATGTGTATCCTTACAAGTAAAAAACTTTTGGAAGGCAAAGCTTGGTTAAGGATGGAGAGTGCAAATGATCCCATAACCATCCTTCGTAAATTAATCGGGATTTTTCTTCTAAGAAATATAATTAAAAGGAGAGGCTTAAAATTCTTACCTTGGCACCGATCTGGTTGCCACACTGACCGGCCTGGATGTGCACGATTTCCCTCATGGCTACAATTTATTTTAATTTATTTTTGCTCGCCTCAATGTATGTTCGGGGCAAGGAAATATGTAATTCGTTTTCTGTGCTGGTCGCGAGCTGAAAGAAGGAACGTGCCCGGGAGGATGGAGCAGCGAGATCCGAACGCGACGGCAGGAAGATTCTGAGAGGCAGAAAAGCAGGGAGGGCGAAGGAGGGAAGGCGGGCAGGGCGGGGCGCGCGTGCGCCAGGGATGGGAGGCGGGAAGACAAAGCCTTCTCCAGCCTGCCGCTGATTAGTCGATGCTGATCATGTACCAAACGGCCATTGGTTTCTACGCCAGTGGACTAGCGCAGTTCTCTCTGGGAGTCGTAGTCCTCTATTGTTGTCCACGCTGCAAAATGAAGTTACGAATGGGTGGGTACTTGGTATTTTGCTTTTTGTGGTTTTCTTATTTTTTTTTAATGAAAAATGACCTTGCACAAGATTCTTTCTATGTCAGAGGTTTTTGTGAGGTTTTTTTGTTTGTGAAAAAATGAAATCGTTCTTGGTATGTGGGAATCTGGGGTTCCAGGAGCTAGGAGGTGGGGTAGGCACGCCCTGAAAGCTGCCCACTGCGGTAGCTCTCGGGGAGACAGGACTGCTTAGCTCAGCGAAAACTGGAAGAACTGTGGTACCCTCTTCTGCTACATACATCTAGTCCTTTGGTGACCTTAGTCATAAACTTCAGTAAAAACCCCGTTCCCCCAGACACCTCAGAGGAATAAGGAAGGGATTATCCTCCTCTTTCTTTGGGACTTTTGAGTAAGAAGGCAAAGCTTGGTTAAGGATGGAGAGTGCAAATGATCCCATAACCATCCTTCTTAATTAATCTTAAAAAAGAAACAAAATTGTAGCAAGAGCTTTTCAAAATAGAGAGGTTGTCTGGAAGGAATGTTGAAAGAATAAATTGAATAGTTTAGTGAAGCTGAGATCTGGGATTTGTGGAGCTAGAAGTCTCTCTTGGTCCATGAGGGGATCAGGGCTTTAAGGTAGAGTTTGAGGACACCTCGGTCATCTTGTCAAAGGGAACTATGGGGTGAGGTTCCTGATAGAATTTCAGTGTCTTCCCAGCCTGCCTTTATTAGACTCTGAGATGAAGTCAGTAATTTTTCAGTTTTCTAATTTCAGTGACTAGGTGTGGCTATCGCAAAGCCTCAGGATTTAAAAGGTGGGGAGGAGGGAAAATGGGATGGGCTCAAGTATGAACCTCTCAGCTTCTTCCAAGTGAGTCATTCATTTGATAGATACCAAGTATCCACCAAAGCAGGATACTATGGATACAAAAATGTTTAAGGATTAGTTTTTTTTTTAATATTTATTTTTTAGTTCTCTGCGGACACAACATCTTTGTATGTGGTGCTGAGGATCGAACCCGGGCCGCATGCATGCCAGGCGACTGCGCTACCGCTTGAGCCACATCCCCAGCCCCGAAGGATTAGTTCTTTGACCCACAGAATCTTGAGAAGTGTATTAACAAGAAGGTGGTGTAACAGTAATGTGGTATCAAGATCATTAATTGGGGGGAGGGGGCTGAGGTTATGGCTCAGGCTCAGTGGTAGCCTAGTATGCATGAGGCACTGGGTTCCATCCCCAGCACTACATAAATATAAAAAAATAAAGGCATTATGTCCACCTAAAAGTAACAAATAAATGAATAAGATCATTCATTCACATTTGACCAATACACAGATCAATACCCTTTTCTAAGTCACTTAATAAATAAAGGAACATTAAATTATATAAGGCCCCTCTACTCTTTTAAAACATAATGTTTTAAATGTCTAGGGTGTGCTTGCAATGAAAGCAGTTTACAGCGTTAGAGGAAAGATATTCAGAATTCAAAATTATAGAGAATTTGATTCAATTAGTCTTAAGGAACCTAAGCACGTTATTTAACTTCATAGAGCTTCAATGCTTCGTTTATGAAGTCAATTTTAGTATATTTGTTATAGACACAGTTAAGATACAGATCTTACTAGATTATGCACGTGTCAAATTCTCACTATTCTCTTCATGTCTTATGAAATGAAGTAAATGATTTTTTCATTCTTTCCTCGAATCTTGAAAGGGAAGCACAGACTTTTTAAGATGTTAACAAAACAGCATTCTCTGTTTGCCTAGAAACGTTTGCTTTAGATTCTTCCATTTAGGAAAATGATCTCAAAATGTCCGTCAGGGATATATTCCCATGAACAAATGGCATGACTTCTACTAAACAAATTAAAAGGAAATTAAATTCCGCTGCCATGAGGAGTCCTCAAGCGCCACGCCTACGGGCTATTCTCCAAACTGCAGCCTCGAGCCACGACTGCAACCGCAGCCCATTTTCATTTCTCATGAGTCAGCGGACTCCATGTCTGGGAGGACCGCGGAAGGGCGCTCTGGATGCAGGATTCGGTAGACGTCTATGGTAGAGCCCTTCTATCTGCTGCCAGCACTCTCTGGCGCCAGACTCTCTGGTCGCGGTTTGGAAATCTGCGCGGGAAATGGGTGGTAATGGGTTTTCCCTTGGAGCTGCCCAATCGTGGTGCGTTATTCCGTAAACTCCTGGCCGCCTCGGATTATATTCTACTTTAACTACCAGTCCCCTGCGAGCAGCCTCCCGTTTGAGCCGTGAGGGGGCGGGGAAAGGGCGGACCTTCGAAAGTGCCTGTGCTCCGGGAGCTTCATCAATCAGCGCACTGCAGCATGTGAAAGACAGCTACAGGAGCCAATCAGCGATTCAAGTTCCTTCCGGACACGCACTCGCGCCACCCAGGTCACGGCCGTTACTGGTGGCGCGCGCGGCGACTCAAAGTAGGTAAATTCTGGGGGCCTCGCCCTCGGCTCCCCGGGTACCATCTTGATTCCTCCGGAGGGCGGGAGGGGCGTGCCTTGGGTGCGACTGGGTGGAGGTAATTTAGAAATTTGCTTCTTAGATTGTAATACTCATCCTTGTCTGGAGCCCTGAGCCGGGTATGAGCACACAGAAAGACGTTGGGCTACGAGGGAACCCATTCGGGTGTGGGGGGATCAAAGATCTTGGCCCTTGGAATTGGAGCCAGGGGTCGTGGGCATCGCTGAATTGGTGCGTCAAAAGGACGGAATTAACACTTTCTCCATGGGGGCGTCCTCTTTTTCCTAGCAACAGTTTTCCTCTAGGGTGGCATCTTTCTAGGTAAATTCCACTCATGCTATTTTGAGTTTCTACCTTATTTTATTTCTTCTTTCATCATAGGCTCGATGATGTCTTTTCCATAGGGTAGGATTCATGTTTATGTTTGGTTCCGGATGTATCCTGAATACCTCCAACTGTGCCAGGTGCACCATAACCATAAACATGAATGATGGACCCTAGGGAAAAGACACAGTTCACTGATCCAGTCCTGGAAGTAGTGTGAAGGTTATAAGGTTTACATCATAGAGTCCTTGCTAAAAAGTTTAGGTTTTATTTTATGCTATGGGCATTGAAAGCCATCAAGAGACTATTATACAGGGAGAGAGATTATTTGGGTGATCTTGGGCAAGTCCCTTAACCCATCTATGTTGAAGTTTCTTTATCTGGGAAAAAGGAGAATAATAATACCTACTTTACAGGGAACAGTAGATGAGGCAGTATAAACTATTTAGAACAGTGCTTGACACATAGAATCCTCTTGTGTATACCAGCTGTTATGTTCTTTACACTTCAGTCTGATTACACTGAGGCCATTTGATACAGTGTAAAAAGTGGGCTTTGCAATCAGAAACATTTATTTCTGTCTGCCCACCTATCTGCTGTGTTATCTTGAGCAAGTTATTTAATGTTTTAGCATTAGCTGACTACTGTGCCTGGCAATATAATACCCAACACATGCTTGGCACATGTTAGCAAAATGGTTTTTCAAACTGTGAGTTGCACTCCAGTAGTGGATGGTGAAATCAATTTAGTGGGTTGAAATCAGCATTTAAAAACTATAGTGAATTGGGCATGTAAATATAGGCCTGAAATCCCAGTGACTCAAGAGTCAGGCAGAAGAATCATAAGCCTTGGCAGCTTAGCAAGGCCCTGTCTAAAAATTAAATAAGAAAGATCAGTGGTAGAGTGCTCCTGGATTCAATCCTCAGCCTCCCAAGTCACTGGGAATACAAGTATTCATCACCACATCCAGTTCTCAAAACTTTCTTGAGGTGGACCCTTGCTAAGGTATCAAGGCTATTAGATCTAGGCTATTGGGCTTCAGTGATTCTTCTGCTGCATCATGCCCAGTTTTCAGTTTTATTTTAGATTTGAAAAGCACATATTTGTATATAGTTTGTACTTGGAACATTGTGATATTTCTTACTTTGTTTCATGGTAAAAAAAAAAAAAATTTTCAGGGGTAAGGGTGCATACCTGTAATCCCAACAACTCAGGAGGCTGAGACAGGAGGATTGAAAGTTCAGGGCCAGCTTTAGCAATTTATTGAGGCCATGAGCAACTTAGTGAGACCCTAAGGGATAAGACAAAAAGGGCTGGAGATGTAGCTCAGTGGTAAAACACCCTTGGGTTCAATTTTCGTAACAATAAATAAATAATAAGTTATTTTAGCCAAGCATGGTGACATACACCTATAAACCCAGTGAATCAGGAGGCTGAGGCATGAGGATTACAAGTTAAGACCAATCTCAGTAACTGTCAAGACCCTGACCAATTTAGCAAGATCCTGTCTCAAAATAAAATATAAAAAGGACTGGGGATGTGGTTCAATGGTTAAATATCCCTGGGTTCAATTTTTGGAACCAAAAAAAGTAATAAAAGAGGCTAGAGATGTAGCTCAGTGATAAGTGCCTCTGGGTTCAATCCCCAGTACCACAAATCCCAGTACTGGTTCAATACCCAGTATTGGAAATTGAACCCAGAGTCCCATGCATGCTAGATCATTCTACCACTGAGCATTATCCTCAGCCCTTTTTATTTTTTTAAAGACATGGTCTTGCTTAGTTGTCCAGGCTGGTATGGCACTTGAAATCCTACTGCCTCAGCCTCCTGAGTAGCTGGGATTATAGGCATTTGCTGCTGCACCCAACTTAAAAGACTTTTTAAAATCAATAATGCAGGGGACTGAAATCAGGGTCTTGCACTTGCTAGGCAAATGCTGTACCATTGAGTTAACACATATAGCCACCCCAGAATATTTTTTTTTTTTAATGCTTCAGAAGGATAGAAATAGAGTGATTGGTGGGAAGAGAAGCATCAATTACTTTTACTATCCAGGTTTATCCCTACTTATCATTCTCTCTGATGCTGTGTATGAACAAGTAATGGGGATGATGATAATGTGTTTCCTTCCCAGACCATGGAAGACACCCAGGCCGTTGACTGGGATGTTGAAGAAGAGGAAGAGACAGAGCAATCTAATGAATCCTCAGGATATATCTTGGAGCCTATAGGACGACTGCATATCTTCAGTGGTGCCCACGGACCAGAAAAAGGTCAGAGGGTATTGAGTGCTGAAGTATGGATATAGGTCTTTTATTTTTCTTGGTTGGAGAGTTACAAGTTTACATTTGTTTCAAGGAAATATGAAAAACTGTTTTACTAGGTTGGATAAAAGGGGACTGACAGATGATTGTTCTGGGCTACAGCCCTGGACACTCTAGGAGTTATTTTATGTTGATAGGAGAAGATGAAGAGGATCAAATAAAAATCTACTGTGGCTGGTGTGGTGGCACACAACTGTAATCCCAGAGGCTCGGGAGGTTGAGGCAGGAAGATCATGAGTTCAAAGCCAGCCTCAGCAAAAGGGTTGGGGATATAACTCAGTGGTTAAATGCCCCTAGGTTTAATCCTCAGTACCAAAAACAAAAAAATAAAAATACCAAAAACCTACTGTGGTCTGGAAATGGATGGTAGTGAGGGAGTAATGATTGCACAACAATGTGCTCTTTTTTTTTTTTAGTTGTCGATGGACACAATACCTTTGTTTATTTATTTGTTGTTATGTGGTACTGAGGATCAAACTTGTGCCTCACACATGCGGGGCACATGCTCTACCGTTGAGCTACAGCCCCAGCCCCAACAGTGTGTTCTTAATACTATTGAACTGCCTGCTTTAAATGACTAAAAAGGTAAATTTATATTATGTATATTTTATATAATGAAAAAATCCCCATGTAGATGGGTTGCATATGAATAATGCATTGCATATATATATTTTTTTCTTTATTTATTTTAGGTGTAGAGGGACACAACACAATGCCTTTATTTTTATGTGGTACTGAGAATTAACCCAGGTCCCGCCTGTGCTAGGCAAGCGCTCTACCGCTGAGCCATAATCCCAGCCCGCATATATTCTTCAATTCCTAGATTTTCTAGGAATTTGGGGGGGGGGGGCAGGATACTAGAGATTGAACCCAGAGGCTCTTACCTACTGAGCCACATTCCCAGCTGGTTTTGTATTTTATTTTGAGACAAGTTCTTGGTAAGTTGCTTAGGAACTCACTAAGTTGCTGAGCCTGGCTTTGAACTTGCGATCCTCTTGTCTTAGTCTCCCAAGTTATAGGATTTATAGGCATGAACCACTGCACCTGGATGTTCTAGGACTTTTTATTTTTCTAATGCTTTTGGGAGCTTTGAGAAAGTAGTAGGGTATTTAACTAGAAGATTTTCCTAATGAAAGACCAGGACTCTGGCCTTGGAACCTGTCTACCTCTCTCATTTTTAGATTTTCCACTATTCCTCGGGAAGAATGTGATAGGCCGACTGCCTGACTGCTCTGTGACCCTGCCCTTTCCATCCATCTCCAAACAACATGCAGTGATTGAAATCTCAGCTTGGAACAAGGCACCTGTCCTCCAGGATTGTGGGAGCCTTAATGGTACTCAAATCTTGAGGCCTCCTAAGGTCCTGAGCCCTGGTTTGAGTCACCGTCTCAGGGATCAGGAATTGATTCTCTTTGCTGATTTACCCTGCCAGTACCATCGCCTGGATGTCCGCCCACCCTATGTTTCCCGGGGTCCCCTAACTGTAGAGGCGACCCCCAAAGTACAGGAAGAACCTCAGCCCTCCAGACTTCCCTTGGCTGAGGACTCAGAGGAGGAAGAAGGTAAGTTTGTGTATTGGCAGTGTGGATGAAGAGACAGGGATGATGAGTGTGATATTGTCAAGTTACTCCTTTTTGTTCTTGCCAGATTTCTCAAAAGGGTGTGTGGTGAAAGAATCAAGGACCACATCCTCCTCTTTGGCAACAGTAGTTCCAGAAAGGTAAGTACCACAGGGCTAGATATGTGAGTCTTCAAATAGGAAGAACCAGGGTCTGGAGGATCAGTCTCTAACAGAGATGATCACGTTGAAAGTTGAGGCTGTGGGTTTGTATATATTCATTCACTCAGCTTATTTTTTATGGAGCACCTAGATGAACCAAGCTGGAGATAGAAGAGCAAATACTACCTGTGTCTACAACTCATAGTTAAGTGGGGTATCCCTTTCCAAGAAATTCCTTAGACTCTTTCTTTTCTGTTTCACAGTGATGAAGAAGGACCTTCCCTGGCCCCAGGTGACTCTTTTGCCTTCAACTTGGACAGTGACACAGATGAAGAAGAAGGTCAGCAACCAGCAGCCAGGGAGGCCTCTTCAGCTGCTAGAAAATGTGCTGCAGCAGAGGCAGAGCAGCCTGAAGCCAGTGGAATTACAACTGATATGTGGCTAGGAAAAGTTCAGCCTCCAGGAGAGATCGATAAGGACACAAAAGTCAAAAGGGATACAGGGAATAGGGTGGTACCAGTTGGGCTGATTTTGGAAAGAAGTCAGCTTCCTGAGGACAGCAGTGACACAGATGTGGATGAAGAGAACCGGCCTCCTGGAAAGACAGCTGAGGCCCACTTGGAAAGGGTCCAGCCTTCTGGCTTCTTGGATAGTGATACTGATGTGGAAGAAGAGGGGATCCCTGCAACCCCAGCTGTAGTGCCTATGAAGAAGAGGCAAGTCTTTCATGGAGTTGGTACAAGAAGTCCTGCAACACTTGGATCGGCACATCTTCAGGAGAGCCCAGCTGGTAGTGATACAGACATGGAGGAGGGTGAGGCCCCATTGGCTATCCCTCTGGAAAGAAGCCAAACCTCTATGGTGATTGATAGTGATACAGATGATGAAGAAGAAGTCTCAGCAGCACTCACTTTAGCACGTCTGAAAGAGAGCGGAGCTGTTTTATGGAACAGAAATGCTGATATTGAAAAGGACAGAGTCCAACCTGTGCTCCTTCAGAAGAAAAGCCTAACCACCTCTGAGAGAGATAGTGACACTGACATGGAGGAGGGGCTCCCAGTTGAAAAGAGAGAAACTGTCCTCAATGGTCATACAGACAAGGAAGAAACCCTTGTTATAGCAAATTCAGAAAATGGACAAACTCCCCTTAGAGACAATGATGTAGGTGAGGAAGCAGATATGAGTTCGCCAGGGGTCCTTCTGGAGAGAAGCCAAGCTGCCTCCACCACAGGGAACATCAACATAGAAGTGAAACAGGAAGTTCCATCAGGGCCAGCTGTTATATGTTGGGGAAAGCATCAAGTGCTTGTGAAGGGGACAAATCAAACAGATAAGGAAGCGAAGCAGGAATCAGCAAAACTGCCCATAATGCCTCTAGAGGCAGTCCAGTCTTCTGATGAGGATGGTGAAACAGATATGGAGGTGGGCATGTCTTCAGAAGTGGCAGATGTAAGAAAGAGCCAGCTTCTGGGAGAAGGGGATGCTGAGACAGAGAGGGCTACAGCTGTACTTGAGTCAGAGGGCACTCCCAAGGTGGGGGCCTATGGTGGATCACAAGTACAGCAGATGGTGGTGCACACAGGTGCTTCAGGGGAACCCCTTCAACCACAGACAGAGGGATATCCCCTTACAGGAAAGGAGAAAAAACCGCATATGAGTGAGGCCAAGGACTCCAAAGACAGCCATGATGGTAAGTGCTAACCTTTCTTCTTCCTTTGCTCTTGAAATAAACAATGGTTAAAAGGAGTGGGGAGAGAATAATAGGGTAAAGTAAAGTGTTGAGTGTTAGATATGATTTTTTATTATCGGTCCTATACTTCCCACCAGATTCTGAAGATCTGGACCTTCAAGCTACCCAGTGCTTTGTGGAGAGGGAGAGTCAGAATCTGGACGGTGAGAACATTTGTATTGTTTGGATTCCAGTGCCAGTGGGAACTGGGAGATAGACTAATAGTCTTTGAAGGGTGTGAAGATTGGTGGGTATAGGGCAGGAGACTGGGAATGGGACCCTGGAGTTCTGTGGAAGAGCTGTGTTTAGGCCATCTATTCTCATGCAGCAGTTCAAAACTTGGAAGATTTACCCACCCAAACCTTCCTATTTACTCTGCCCCAAGAGCTTGGCTCTTCCTGTGGCAGTTTTTAGACCCCAGGTACAAGAAGCTCTCTTCTCTGTACCCCTAACTTTTCATCCTTTTTTGTTTTCTTTCTCTACATGTTTCTTTCATACTCTTTGAGTATTGTGCGATGTTTCTGCATCTCATCAGAAAAACGCACCATGTTGGGCTAGGGTTGTGGCTCAGAGGTAGAGTGCTTGCTTGGCATGGGCGAGGCCCTGGGTTCGATTCCCAATACCACATAAAAATAAATAAAGGCATTTTAAAAAGAAAGAAAGAAAGAAAGAAAGAAAAACGCACCATGTTATGTCAGACTTTAATTGATTAAAGAGACAATTGTGGTGGCACACACCTGTAATCCCAGCAATGCAGGAGGAGCACAAGTTCAAAGACAATATCAGCAACTTAGCAAGGCCCTAAGCAACTTAGTGAGACCTTGTCTCAAAATAAAATATAAGAAGGACCAGGGGTGTGACTCAGTGGTTAAGTGCTCCTGGGTTAAATCCTTAGTACCAAAAAAAAAAAAAAAGAAAGAGAGGGAGAGACCACTGAGGAAGCTTTCCTGTGAGGATATATGTATGGTCATTTTGTTTGTTTGTTTTAATATTTTTTTAAAGTTGTAGATGGACACAATACCTTTATTTATTTATTTTTATGTGGTGTTGAGGATCGAACCCAGTGCCTCATGTATGTGAGGCAAACACTCTACCCCTGAGCCATAATCCTAGCCCCTGTATGGTCAGTTTTTGTTTTCATTTTTATTTTGGCATTAGGAATGAACCCACAGATTTGGGTACATGAGGCAAATGCCTTACCACTGAACTATATCCCAGCCCCATGTATGGTCTTTTTATAACATTAAATATTTTAGCTATCACCCTTATCCCAGCTTTTCTTTAATATTATATTTATTATCCATGAGTTTATCTTATTTGCTTCTTAACCTTAACATTTTTTATCTACCTCTCTTTTCTTTCTGTCTCTCTGACTCCTTACTTTTAGGTGCTTTGGATGAACCGTGGGAAGTCTTGGCTACACAGCCATTCTGTCCGAGAGAGTCTGAGGCCACTGAACCTCAGCTCATAGCCACCCACCTTGAGGCTAATGGATCTTGCCTGTCTCCACCTAGGGCAACACCACAAGACCAGCATCCAGAGAGCCCAGTTCACACAGAGCCGTTGGGGATTCAAGGCAGAGAGATACAGACTGTGGAGAAAGACATGGGTACACGAAAAGAAACAGAGAGGGTGACCCCTGAGAAAGGGCCACTGGAGAGGGAAATCAGGGAAGGGCCACCAGAAGGAGAGAGAAAAGATGTGATGGAGGAGGAGGAAAAAACTAGAGGGATACAGGACAGAGAGCAAAAACAGGCATTAGCTGAAGACACTCAAGAGTCTGGCAAAAAGGCGAAAAGCAAGAGTCCTGAAAGGTATAGGGAGAACTCGAAGGTAGAAATGGAGATATCTGAGGAAACAGAAGAGACAGAGATAGAGAAGCAGACCCTCACAAGAGAAGTATTTGAGAAAGTAGTAGAAAAACCAGTTCCAGAGAGAATGTGTAAAGCCGCTGAGTTAGAAGTGAACTTGGAGAGAGGGGAGACAGAGGGAGGAAACCAAGACCAGAAAGGACAGGCTACTAGTCCAACACCAGAGCCTGGAGTCAGGGCAGAGGAACTTCAGGGACTTGCTTCAGCCCCTGTAGTTTCTGGGAACCAGTCAGGTGGAGGAAGGGGAGCCCCGGTGAGCCCCACGAGGCAGCAGAGAGGTAAGTGAAGGCAGAAAGGAACACAAGGTGGTATGCAACCCTCATGATAATCAATCCCTAAGCAACCAACTACTTAGAACTCAACTACCCTTTTGTTACTTTCTGTCCAGGCCACTTGAATTACAAGATGCTACCTGCTGAGACAACTTCCATGGTGAGAGTTACTTTCTTGATTTCTTACTATTCCACAAGTCGTCCCTATATCCCACCAGTGCCCTTCTCTTGGCCATGCTTTAAGCTAATCCTCTCCCCATATTCACACTTTTTTTTCCATCATTATCCCTTCTTAGTTGGCATCCATCGCTTTGCCCTTGGTACCCATTGTTTTCCATACCTATTCCCCAAGTAGTATCTCCCTCTGACTCAGAAAGGTAGTCCCTTTCATGTTTTGTCCTTCTTTGCCCCAACCATCCTCTTCATGTACCACCACCCACATGTGGAGAACACTATGAGGAGAGCTTTGTAGAGAAGAGGACTGCTTCCTCCCAGGGAGGTCCCAGTCTAACGGAAGAGAGGACACATACAGGAAGAGAAATGCCAGAGGACACACTTCCACCATAAACAAGGATCAGGAACAGTGTCCCAATTTCTCTTTCTCATTACCCTCCTGCCTTGTTTCTGTTTTTCCCCAGGGTGATCCAGAATCCCCAGATGCTTGCCTGCCTGCTACAATGCCTGAAGCCTTAGCCCTACCCCTCAACTCCTTTAGCTCTCAGAGCCAAAAACATCCTGAACTTCAGTCCCTTCTTTCTCCTCTTTCATCTTCTGAGCTACCCATTCCTAGGACCAGGTACAAAAGGAGTCAGGAAACTCCAGAGCCTCCCCAGTCTTCAGAGCTGGAACCTTTCCCCCAAAAACCCAGTGTTAGGCCCCGTCGCTCCTCCAGGATGACACCCTCTCCACTTTCCTCCGCTGCCCTTGAACTCTCCTCTATTGCCCCCACAGCCCAGCCTGCTGCCCCTAAGTCCACATCTCGTGCAACTAAGGGAAGGACACACAAGTCCTCTGACAAGACCCCCGAACTTCAGCCTTTCTCTCCCACAGAGCAGCCCATTACCCCCACACCTACATCTCGAGTCCCTCGGGTCAAGACAAATAGGTCCTCTGTCAAGATCCCTGAATCAATTGTCCACACAGCCCCTGAACTCCAGCCTTCCACCTCCACAGACCAGCCAGACACTCCTAAGCTCACATCCCGAGTTACTCGGGGCAGGACACTTAGGTCCTCTGTCAACACACCTGAACCAGTATTGCCTATAGCCCCTGAACTTCAGTCTTTTGCTTCCACAGACCAGCCTGTCATTCCCAAACCCACATCCCGAGTCACTCGGGGAAGGACATGTAGGTCCTCTGTCAAGACTCCTGAACCAGTTTTCTCTGTCACCCCTGAACTCCAGACTTCCACTCCCACAGAACAGCTCTTAACCTCTAAACCCACATTTGTAGACTCTCAGGGCAGGACACATAGGTCCTCTGTCAACACACCTGAACCAATTTTACCCACAGACTCTGAGCTCCAGCCTTCCACCTCCTCAGACCAGCCTGTCACCCCCCAGCCCCCATCCCGAGTCACTCGGGGCAGGACACACAGAACTTCTGTCAAGACCCCTGAACCAATCTTACTCACAGGCCCCAAAGTCCAGCCTTCTACCTCCACAGACCACCAGCCTGTTGCCCCCCAGCTCACATCCAGAGTCACTCGGGGCAGGACACTTAGGTCCTCTGTCAAGACCCCTGAAACAATTGTACCTACAGCCCCTGAGCTCCAGCCTTCCACCTCTGCAGAGCAACCTGTCACCCCTAAATCCACATCTTGGCCCACTCGGGGTAGGACACATAGGTCTTCTGTCAAGACCCCTGAAGTAGTTGTCACCACAGCCCCTGAACTCCAGCCTTCCACCTCCATAAACCATCCTATCACCCACAAGCCCACATCTAGAATCAGTCGGGGCAGAATACATAAGTCTGTTGAAACTCCTGAACCAGTTGAACCATCAGCCTCTGATCTTGAGCTTCCCAACTCCACAGACCAGCCTGTCGCTTCTAAGGCAGTATGTCAGAGTGGAGCACTAGAGTCTTTAACACTAAGTGCTGCCACACTTCCTGTCACTCCTGAATTCCATCCTTCTGTTACCACAGACCAGCCTGTTCCCTTTGAGCCCACTCAAACCAGTTGTACCAGGAGACAGAGAGCTGCTGGGAAGCATGGCTCCCTTACAGCTCTCATTGTCCACAAACCTAGCTCTGCACCCCCTGAACCTAAATGCCGATCCTCAAGGAACCAAAGACCAAGGGCACAGAGAGCAGCTGAATGCCTTGGGACCATTCCTGAGCCTTCCTTTCCCCAGCTTCCTGAGGCACCCATTCATGCTTCCCAGATCCAAAAGGTGGAAGCAGCAGGTACATCTGGGTTCATCCCAGAGCCCCCACCTAAGGCCTCTCGAAGCCGTAAGAGACCTTCCACTACCATAGATTCACCCCCTCTTCAAAAACGTCCCCAAAGAGGGGATGTCTCCCAGGAGACAATGTTCCCCAAGGAGGAGGAAGAAGATCCTGAGGAGATGCCAGTGAAGGAAGAGGTGAGGAAAGGGCTGGAGACTCCAAGCTGGGAGGAAGAGCTTCAGGGCTCAGACTCTCCCACCAAGGTATTTTTCAATCCCAGGACATAGTGATTCCAGACAAGAGAAGGAGAGACCAGACAGAGGAGGAGCCCAAGGGAATACCAAGCCGAAGCCTTCGACGGACCAAATCTAACCAAGAATCAGCAGCCCCTAAAGTAGGAGAGAAGGGAACTGGGGTTACAAAGGGAGAGTGGTAGCTGGTTTGAGAGGTGGGCAATCCTGGCATTAGCTTGCTCTGACCAGCCCAGTCTAATCCCCCAACAGGTTCTCTTCACAGGAGTTGTGGATGCTCGTGGGGAGCGGACAGTGCTGGCATTGGGGGGGAGTCTGGCCAGCTCGGTGGCAGAGGCCTCCCACTTGGTTACTGATCGAATCCGCCGGACAGTCAAGTTCCTGTGTGCTCTAGGGAAGGGAATCCCCATCCTGTCCCTGGACTGGCTACATCAGGTGAGAGGTCAGGAGATGATGACAGACCAATAGCAAGAGTGACTGGAGAAGACTGGTTACATAGCTCTGTGGGAAAATGGGAGGAAAGAGGAGACTGAGAAATGGGGCTTTAGTGATTCATACAAAAAACATTTCACATGCTGTCACAAGCTGCTAGGCAGGAGTGCTAGGTGGGGTGTGGCTGAGATCTGATGCTGATTGCTACCTCCCTTAGTCCCGCAAGGCTGGTTGCTTCTTGCCTCCAGATCAATATGTGGTGTCTGATCCTGAGCAAGAGAAGAATTTTGGCTTCAATCTTCGGGATGCCCTGCACCGGTCTCGGGAGCGAAGGCTACTGGAGGTGAGAGGCTATCTTCTGTCCTGTCTTCTGCCTTGTACAGGTTTCACAGCGCCTCACAGCCTTTCAGTTGCAGATATCTACTGTCACCATTTTTCTCTCTTAGGGCTATGAAATTCACGTGACCCCTGGAGTCCAGCCACCACCATCTCAGATGGGAGAGATCATCAGCTGCTGTGGAGGCATTGTCCTATCCAGCATGCCCCGGACCTATAAGGTATGGTTGGTGAGTTCTGGGTCTTCTGAAGGAGTAACTAAAAGAAGTTGCAGGATGGGCTGGGGAATATAGCTCAGTTGGAAGAGTGCTTGCCTCAATGCACAAGGCCCTGTGTTTAATCTCCAGCACCACAAAAACAAATAAACAGAAGAGGTAGTGGGAATGGGAACATTTGCAGGAAATATAAAAGTATAGATGGGAAAGGGTAGGGATGAGGGAACAGATCTGCTGACACCAAATGGACTTAGTTTCATTTTGTATTTATACATTTTCAGTTGTGCATATGCTACATTTATTATCTATCCCTTTGTTCTTTTGTTTCATTTACTCTGCTGAAAAACTTTTTTTTCCTTTACCCTTCCCCTACTTTTTTTTTTTTTTTGAGATGTGTTTTACTATTATTACCCAGGCTGGATTTTAACTTTTAGGCTTAAGTGATTCCCCCCTACTTCAGCCTTCTGAGTAGCTGGGACTATAGGCATATGCTACTATGACGAGCTTTACTGAAGTGGTTTTTTTGAGGGGGAGGGAAGTTGGTACTAGGGATTAAACCTAGGGGCACTTTATCAATGAGCTACATCCCCATCCCCCCCCTTTTTTTTAGTTGTTGATGAACCTTTCTTATTCATTCATTCATTCATTCATTCATTTATATGCAGTGCTGAGAATCAAACCCAGTCCCTCACACATGCCAGACAAGTGCCCTACCACTGAGACACAACCCTGGGCCCCCAGTCCTTTCTATTTTTTATTTTGAGACAGGGTCATGCTAAGTTTCTCAGGGCCTCACTACGATGCTGAGGCTGGCCTTGAACTTGCAATTCTTCTGCCTCAGCCTCCTGAATCACTGGGATTACAGGCATGCACCACCATGCTTAGCTTTGCTGAAGTATTTTAAAGCAAACTGCAAATATATTACTGTATTACTTTCTTCTGTATACTTAAGTATATATCTCCAAGAAATATGTACATTCTCTTTTTTCTCTCTTTTTTGTCAGTACTTAGTATTTAACCCAGGGTATTCTACCACTGAGCTACATCCCCAGCACTTTTTACCTTTTATTTTGAGACAGGATCTCACTAGGATTCCCAGGCATGCCTCAAACTTGGGATCCCCCGCCTCAGTCTCCCAAGTAGCTGGGGACTACAGGCATGTGCCATTACACCCAGCTGACACCCATCTCTTAAAAATAAAACAAAAACAAGAAGGGTTGGGGATGTAGCTCAGTGGTAGAGTGCTTGCCTAGCATGCACAAGACCCTGGCTAATTTTAAGAGTTAGGATGAATTCAAGAGCAGCCTTTCTGGCAAGTATACTTCACAGATAGCCAGCTACTTGGGAGGCGAAGACGAAAAAAATCAGAAGCCTTCCTGGAACAATTTAGCAAGACCTTGTTTCAAAATAAAATGGACTGGGGATGTGGGTCAGTGGTATAGCACTTGCCTAGCAAGTGGGTTCAATCACAACACCACTAAAAAGAAAAAGAGAATATTTTATAGACAATAAGTACAATGAGCTTCATATCAGGAGGTACTACTTCAGTGATGCTAGCCCTGCTTAATGGGTCCTGAATCTATTTCTAGAACTGTTTATCCCCCCTGACTTCTTTCTTTGCTCTCTCTTCCCCAGCCTCAAAGAGTTGTGATCACATGCCCCCAGGACTTCCCACGATGCTCCATTCCATCTCGGGTTGGGCTGCCCCTCCTCTCTCCTGAGTTTCTACTGACAGGAGTGCTGAAGCAGGAAGCCAAGCCAGAGGCCTTTGTCCTCTCCACTTTGGAAATGCGTTCCACCTGAAAATTCCAGCACCCTTTTCCCTACTAGACAGTAAAGTTTTCTAGAAAACAATTGGGGAAAAAAAAAACTTAGGACTTTAGAAAACACTGGGGTGTATTGATATGACTTATGATGGAAATGTTTGGGACCAGAAGGTTTATGGGAAAACGGGGAGATTTGACCCACAGATTTTCTGAAATGGCCATTTTAAAATCACCAATCCTGGAATAGGAGTATAGCTCAGTGGTAGAGCACTTGCCTAGCATGCATGAGGCCCTGGGTTTGAGGCCCAGCACTACCCCAAAACAACAAAAATTGACTAATCCCTTGCTCATATATCTTAATGGATGCTTGTCTTTAGCCAGACTGATGTAATTATTACTCTATGGCACACTCTCCTGCCTCCAACTTGGAAGCCATCTCTCTTCTTTTCTTTCTGGAATTCTTACGTGTCCTCGAAAAATAGTGAATACAACTTTGGCATTAGGCACTTGAAGGGATACTTGGAGTGAGTAGATATGAGGTGGAATTGTGGAATAATGCTAAAATATTTTTCTCTCTCCCATCCCACCTGCTTAGGAGCATCCTTAGCTTTATCTTTGAGCAACTCTCTGCACTTTTCTGGCCTGCTTTTTCAGTATTTATAAAATTAGACCTTCGGCTTGATCTCTGTGATCAATAAATATTCACTCTGTGCCTTATGGTGTGGTGCAGTTTTCTTTTTGTTTGTTTTTAAATGTCTGGTTTTGAGACACCCTTTTTAAAAAATAGTTAGGAAACTATTTAATTTACTGTTATTTTCTATTTGGGATAAATTATGTAATATTAAAAATTGGTCAATTACAAGGATGTAGAGAAATTGGAACACTTACATATTGGTGATATGTAAGTGATAGGAATGTAAAATGGTTTGGCCTCTAAGGAAAATAGTAACAGTTGACAGTTCCTTAAGAAGTTAAACATTAGAAATTACCATATGACTCAGCAATTTTGCTCCTAAGTATATACCCCAAAAAATGAAAACATGTTTTAAAAAATATTTATACATGAATGTTAATATCAGCATTTTCCATAATAGCCAAAAGATGGATATAATACAAATGTTCAACAAGGATGAATGGATAGAAAAATGACATATGCATACGTGGAATATTATTCAACCATAAAAAGGGATGCAGTACTGAAAAGTGCTGCAATATTTTAAGGATTAGCTTTAAAAACATTTTGCTAAGTAAATGAAGCCAGACACAAAAGGACACATATTATATGATTACACTTCCATGAAACATCTAGAATGGTAAAACTGTAGAGACTAAGCAATATTGGTGGTTGCCAGAGGCTGGAGAGAGGAAACAAAGGGTAGTCACTGCTTCATGGGTCTGGAGTTATATTTTGGAATTAAATAGAGGTGGTAGTTATGCCCATTTGCAAATGTTACTAAAAGCCATTGTATTCTCTTTAAAGGAACTAGTTTTATTTTCTGTGAATTTTACTTCAATAAAAAATAAATTTATTTGTATACTTTTTCTGCATGTAAAGTATGCTTAAGCTTGGAAAAATGGTGTAGTAGAAATAATGCAAGCTTTGCCAAAACACTGTTAACTTTTTCTTTTCTTTTTTTTTTTTTTTTTTAAGATCTGGGAATCTAATTCAGGGCCTTGTGCATGCTAGGCAAGCATTTTATCACTGAATATATTCCAGTACTGTGCTGCCTTTTCAAAAAATTTTAATTTATTTTTTGGAACTGGAGATTGAATCCAGGGTGCTTTTTTTATTTTTATTTTTTATTTTGAGACAGGGTCTCACTGAGTTGTTTAGGCATTTTTAATTTGCTGAGGCTGGTCTTAAACTTGCAATCTTTCTGCCTCAGCCTCCCAAGTTGCTGGGATCAAGGGTTGCACTGCCCAGACTGGTTTTTAAACTACTACTCATCTTATATACTGAACATAGCGATTGTGTGTGTGGCACACGGTAGGACCTAAACACTGGTCCCCTTTTGGCAAATGAAACTTTCCATATCCCTGAGGCTTACAGGATTCCATATAATACCTACTGTCTCTAGAGGCATTTAACATTCAGGTAGTCAGGCACCTTGGAACATGCCTGTAATCCCAGTAACTTGGGAGGCTTAGGCAGGATGATTGCAAATTCAAAACCAGCCTTGGCAACTTAGCAAGTTGCCAAACCAACCTGAGCAATTTAGTGAGACCCTGTCTATATAAAATATAAAAAAGGGTGGGGATGTGACTCAGCTGAGTTAAACTGAGTCCAATCCCTGATACCAAAAAAGGGGGGGGGGGTTGTACTTCTTTCTAATTGGTCAATTTAAACTTCTAGAGAATAGGGATAGGAATCTTTTCTTACACTTTCAATGAATCCCATACTTTAGCACATTGCTCTGTATAATATCTGTTTGTCACAATCCTAGTAGGAAATCGATGGTACAATTTATTAGAAAATTTGGGGGAAGTGTTTATAATTCAAAGAAGTAAATAGGGTTTAGGGAAATCTTAAACAATATTGCAGTGTCCACAGCTCTGCTACAGCCTGAACTCAAAAGATGAGAGCAGTTATGTGAGAAGAAGGACTTCCTGAATAAATATTGTGACTTTCATTGGTGTAGTCCATTCAGGACCACTTTCCTATGCAAAAAGCAGGGTGGAGAGTGAGTCTGTTTGGTGCAATATATATGATGGCATCGATGCAGAGGAATATGGGAATACTGATCTCTTGAGAGGGAAGGAGGAATGCAGAGCCTGTGGGAGGTTCCTTAGTGCTCTAGCAGTTTTCACATCCCTTTACCCAGAAGATTAACAGCTTTCTTTAACTCTCATCTTGTGCAATAAAAGTTGAGGGAGTGAGTTTGTTGGTTTATTTGTTCACTTGTTTTTGAGACAGGGTCTCTTGCTAAGTTGCTTAGGGCCTTGTTAAATTGCGGAGGCTGGCCTCCAATTTGGGAGCTGTCACAGCCTCCCAAATCACTGGGATTACAGGCATTGGCCACCTCACCCTGCATAGGGAGTAAGCTTAATGATAACTAAGGTCCATATATGTACATAGTTACTTACTATATGATCTTTAATTCTGATGAACTTTACTTTATATATATATATATCCCTTTATTTATGTTTATGTGGTGCTGAGGATCGAACCCAATGCCTCAGAAGTGCTAGGCAAGTGCTCTAACACTGAGCTACAACCACAACCCCTGATGAAGTTTACCTGTAATTTGCTTTTTAGATATTAATATTAATCTGTAGGTAATTATAAGCAGTCTATAGGAAATGTTAAAAGACCTTAGTGGAGTCAAACTAATGAAGTTGCAGAATAAAGTCAGTGTCAATTATTACAAGCTTGTATAAAATTACTTAGTTTACAACTGTAATAAATTAAGTTTTGCACCACAAATATTTTAACAGTTTTACTACCATGGTTACAATCTTTGCCACTTATTAGAGGCTGATAATGTAGCTTAGAGGTTGAGCTTTTGCCCTTCTTGTGGGAGCCAGAGTTCATCCCCAGCATCGCAAAATAAATAATTAGTAACAAAATAGCCAGGCGCGGTGGTGCACGCCTGTAATCTCAGCAGCTTGAGAGACTGAGGCAGGATGATCGCGAGTTCAAAAACAGCTTCAGCAAAAGCAAGGTGTTAAGCAACACCATGAGGCCATGTCTCTAAATAAAATATAAAATAGGGCTGAGGATGTGGCTCAGTGGTTGTGTGCCTGAGTTCAATCCCCAGTACCAAAAAACAAACTGCCAGGTGTTGTGGTGCAGGCCTGTAATCCCAGCAGTTTGGGAGGCTGAGGCAGAAGAATTGAAAATTCAAAGTAAGCCTCAGCAGTTTAGCAAAATCCTAAGCAACTTGGCAAGGCCCTGTCTCAAAAAAATAAAATGGGTTAGGGATGTAGCTCAGTGTTGATGAGCCCCTGGGTTCAATCCCTAGTACCCAAACAAACCAATCTTACAAGATGTAATAGGTGATTCAGAGCTTGAGGTTCTCACCCTGGGTCAAAATCTGTTCTCTCACCGTTCATTATTGAAGTCTTAACTGAGGATTTGTAATGTTAGCCCCCATTGTTTTCCAGTCACGGCTAAATTAAAGAGTTTTTTTGTTTATGCTGAACTGGGGATAGAACCCAGGGCACTATACCACTGAGCTATATCCTGTCTCACTAAAGTGCCATGGCTGGCCTCGAATTTGCGATCCTCTAGCCTCAACCTCTCATGTCGCGGGAATTACAGGACAAGCCACCGCGCCCAGCCGAAAGGGGGGCTCCTAAAGTTCTGTTTCCACAACTGCCAGAGAGGAACTGTCTTCATTTTTTTCAATGGGAAAACTAGCCCAACTGGGAGTCAATCCATGTGAGTGGCTGCAGAACTGCTGTCCTTACCACTTCCCTGGGGATTCTAACATTCCCTTCTGTGACGCGGACATCGCAAGCTCGGGAAACAAACCCCAGCTTTTGCACTGCCTTCGGGCGGGGAAAGCCGCGCGCGCGGGCGAGCCGGAAACCCGGTGTCTGCGTGCAGGAGCCCCGCCCTCCTAGGCGTGTCCCCGGGGGGCGGGGCCTGCTGCCGCGGGAATCCCAAACCCGCCCCTTTCCCCACCCCTCCATTTCTCGCCATGGCCCCTGCACTACTGCTGGTGCCAGCTGCCCTTGCTTCTTTCATCCTGGCCTTTGGCACTGGAGTGGAGTTCGTGCGTTTTACCTCCCTTCGACCACTTCTCGGAGGGATCCCGGATTCCGGTAGTCCGGGTGAGCGGGAGGAATCGAGTACTAGCTTTGAAACAGGGAGGTGGAGCCGGAGAAGAGGGTGCGAGGGCGGAGCTTGGAGACAAATGACAGTGGAAGTCTGAGCGAGGGAACTGGAATCGCGAAAGCTGCTCAAAAGCTGCAGGGTAGAGGGACCATAGGAACGGTTTGGCGAACCGCGAGACTAAAGACTGAGCGGGAGGGAAAGGGCTGTAGACAATATTCTAAGAAAAGTATTTTTTAGAGAAAACTGCGGAGAGAGAAGTGTTACAAAGGGGCGATCCAGAGAATCCTCTCCAGCCATGCTTTTAGTGATAATCCAACATGCATTTTTCTATGAATTCTCTTTCCCAGGTCTGACGGAGGCCTAGGGAAGAGGGGGAAATACAAGGGATGGTAAAGTGAGAGGGGCCAGCCTAGATGGAAAACACTAACGCTTTGAAACCATTAAGGGACATGGTCTGGGACCCCAATGGGAAATGAGGGTAAGGGGAGATTTTCTATTTATCTTCTTGATGTTTTGTCCCTTTCTCCCTCAACTCCTCCAGATGCCCGCCAGGGATGGCTGGCTGCCCTGAAGGACCGCAGTGTACTTGCCTCCCTGGCTTGGGATCTGGGGCTCCTGCTACTCTTTGTTGGGCAGCACAGCCTCATGGCGACTGAGACAGTGAAGGCATGGACATCCCAGTACTTTGGGGTCCTTCAGAGGTCACTGTATGTGGCATGCACTGCTCTGGCCTTGCAGGTATGAGGACATGGCAGCTGAGTCCCCAAGGGAGACAATCTGTGGGAGGCACCCCCTGGACTGGAGGGGAACTGAGGATACTAAGCTTCTATTCCTTCATGGCACATAGCCTACTTTTTATCAAGAAGGGTGTACTTGTCATTCCCTAAGCACAAGATGTGCATTCTCACCTTTGCAACTTTGTTCACATTATCCTGCTTGAAATCCCCTCCTTAATTCCTTTTCAGTCCTACCATTTCTTTCAAACCACCTCCCTAGGTTTCAAGAGAAAGCTTGCTTTTCATTTAGCAGTTACCTATCTTCTTTTTGGGTGCCTAGTACTATCAGGCACCTATCAGGTCATCCCCATCCATTCTGTAAATCCCTATCCATTCTGTAAATCCTCAGTGTGGATACAGGTCATCCTCACTTTCTTGGGAGCTTACTCAGCACCCTCATAAGTGGGAAAGGGGAACAGGCTCTGGGTCTGGGTTTCTTAAAAATAGGCAGATTGGCTGCTGGGATACTTAGTTCCTCATCCTTCTCCAGTTGGTGATGCGGTACTGGGAACCTGTACCCAGAGGCCCAGTGTTGTGGGAGGCTCGGGCAGAGCCATGGGCCACCTGGGTGCCCCTCCTCTGCTTTGTGCTCCACGTCATTTCCTGGCTCCTCATCTTCAGTATTCTTCTCGTCTTTGACTACGCTGAGCTCATGGGCCTCAAACAGGTGAGGCTTCCAAATCCCTACCTAAGACCTCTGACTCCATTTAGAATTCTTTCCAAAGATTTTCCTCTTCCACCTGCCTGCCCCCCTGCTATTCTACTTTCTCCCTTGCTTTTTATTCTCTCCTCTCTCTTTCTTTCTTTTTTCTTTTTGTGGTGCTGGGGATCAAACCCAGGGCCTTCCTTGTGCATGCAAGGCAAGCATTCTACTAGCTGAGCTATATCCCCAGTCCCTCTCTTCTTATAAGAGTGGCTCCTCAAAAGCCAGCATCCATGGGTATCCTGGGTCTGGGGAAGTCACATGAATCAGAGATCAGGGTCAGGGGGTGGAGTCTCAGAATGAGGTTCTTGGGCCTGATTTCCAGGAGGGTGGTACCTGGAAGAAAGAGAAAGAAAAAGCTAAATTGGAAAAAGGGTTTGACTCCATTTCTAAGCCATTCTCCTTCTCTTAGGTCTACTACCATGTGCTGGGCCTGGGTGAGCCTCTGGCACTGAAGTCTCCCCGAGCTCTGAGGCTCTTTTCCCACCTGCGCCACCCAGTGTGTGTGGAGCTGCTGACTGTGCTGTGGGTGGTACCCACTCTGGGCACTGACCGCCTCCTCCTTGCTCTCCTTCTTACCCTCTATCTGGGCCTAGCTCATGGGCTTGACCAGCAAGACCTCCGCTACCTCCGGGCTCAGCTACAAAGAAAACTTCACCTGCTCTCCCGGCCCCAAGATGGGGAGACAGAATGAGGAGTTAACTCTGATTCCAAGCCCTGTACTTTCTCTACTCCTCAAATTCAAATCCTTAACATCCCAGGCCCTGGTTGCTTCAGACCTGAGGCTCAATGCCATGGACTGAAAGAGCTGTCCCTTCTACTGCTCGAGACTTCATTCCTCCAGTCCAGCTCCATACCCTAAATTCTGAGTTTTGGCCACTAGATTCCAAGGTCCAGTTCTTACCAGCCAGGAACAGAGGGTGTAGACTTCATTCCCCTCCCCACAGTTTAGGGCCTGACCTGCCTCCTCACAAGGAAATGGGTCTGCCTTGACTGCTTCCCTGGCACTCTTATTCATCTCTGTGCCTCAGGGATCCCCTTCTCCATCTCCAGCTTTCACTCCTGGGCCAGAATCTCTCTGCAAGTTTGCCAGTAGTGGCCGCCCGCTCTAGACTCCAGTCATGCTCTCCACTCCTACCCTAGTCTCTCCACCTCCCAAGGCTCCGCCCCAGGGCTGAATCCCACTATCCCCCTCTCCCCTGCAACCCACGCCACCGCAACCTAGTGGAGCGGATTCTCCTGCTCTTAACTTGGGTGACCTGGGGTTCCCTGCTCTCCTGAGAAATACTTGCTGCAGGAAAATAAAAGCCTCGTTTTTCTACATGTGATATTCTTTACTCTGCGACGTCTCAATCTACAGGGCTGAGTTTGGGAAGGCGAGCCAGAGCCTGGGAGCACCAAGCTCGAGTTTGGGGGCCACCTCACCCACTGGCTACCCTCTGGGCTGCAGCCAAGCTCCATGGGCTCACCCCCACCTCCAAGCTGCCCATTCCTGCTTCCTCCAAATTCCCCAGTTTTCCCTCTGCAGAACCAGAGACGCAAAGGAGGGGACCGCAGCTCTGGAAGGGAAGAGAACTTCCAAAGCCATTTGCTTCTGAGCACTGCTCCTGCAGCCTCCTTCCTTACAGACCTCCTCCTGTCTGGAGACGGCCCTCGACCCACAGCAACAAAGGCTGGCCCGGGAAGGCAAAAGCGTGGGGAGGAGCGGCCAGAGATGGGAAGGGCGGACCCGGTTCGCAGCAGCTGGCGCTTCCTCCTGAGTCCCTAGAGGGGCCTTAGTCACGGGCCGCCGCCCTGGATTGGGGAGCTGGGTGGGGGCGGGGGTCTGGACACCAAGGTTCTCCTGGACTACAGGACGGGAAGCTGTTGAGGGACCCTGGGGTCTGAGAGCCGAGAACCCGTGATTGCCACAGAAACAGGGGAGTCCCAGAGCAGAGTCCCACGCGCGGTGGATGGAAGTGACGCCCCGCCCCCTCCTCGGGCTCCGCCCTGCGCCCCCTTTCCTCTCGGCATTGTCCTTAGACAAAGCTGTCGCCGCCCCCCGCCCGGCCCCCTGGTCTCTGTCTCTGTCCCTCCTCCTCTTTGCCTCCTCCTCTCCCTCCCTTCACCCCTCCCTCTAGTCTCCGGATCTCCCTCGCTACCTCTCTCCTCCTCTTCCTCTCTCCTCTCTCCGGACGCCTGGCTCCTCGCATCCCCTCCCCCGGGAACGCGTGAGTTGACTGAGGGACTGACTTGAGGACAGGGGTGTCTTCTTGCTCCCGTCCCCGCTCCCGTCCGAGTCCCGGACCTTGGGCTGTCTTCTCTTTGTGCCGAGATTGTCTGCTGACCGCGCCGGGTGGGGATGGCTTGCTATGTCAGGGTTCCATGAGAGCAGGGAGCCAGCCACGGACTTGCAGGCTCAGGACCGAAGAGGCGTGGATCAGTCTTCAGCATGCCTGGGTCCCGGGGCTCAGCCGGTGGGGGAGGCTGACGGTAGTGATCGGACTCGATGGGGGTGGACGCCAGGGTTCTGGGAACGTGATGGCATCGCAGTCGCCCGTGTTCCAAAAGTCCCCCAGGGAGGGTATTTCCCCTGACCCGCCTTGGGGGCGGAGTGCACGGCGGAGGGGTGGGGGCTGGAGGGCCCGAGAGGCGGGGCCCGAACCTAGCCGCGAAAGGAGCCGGGATCTTTGGGGCCCGCGCTGAGACCCGCCGGCCTGCTGCCGCGGCGCTCCCTTAACCATTGCCCCTGAATTCCCCTTCTCCCCTAAACCTTTTCACTCTCCACTTTTCCTTACCTTCCCGAATCCTCTCAGATCCCGTCTATCCCTCTCTGGCGGGATTCCCCGTCTTTCCTTCCCATTCTCACCTCCCGCCAGTGTCGTTGAGGCAGCCTCTCCTGTACCCGGTCCCCTCTAAACCCCAGCCATTCTTTTCTCTCATCTCTTTCACCCCAGCTCTCTTTTAGCCCTTTTCTCTCCTTACATTATTGAAACTGTCTTTAATACTCATTAACCCTTTACTATCCAATCTGGCTCCTGCCTTTAAATTTTGACTTCCTTTCACATCACCTCCCCTCAACTTGGTTGAACAGCTTCTCGTCCCCACTTTTCTGCCCTCCTTCTTATCCCTTTCCCTCTGACCTCATCCCCAGCTCCTCTACCCTTCTCTGTATCCCACCTCAATCCTCCATTTCCTCCCCGCAACCCAGTCTCACCCCTTGGGCCTCTCTGAAGCCTCTCTTCCGGTTGTCTGCCCCCAGCGTTCCCTACCCTCACCTCCCGGAGACCATGGCCACTATCCCAGACTGGAAGCTACAGCTGCTAGCCCGGCGTCGGCAGGAGGAGGCAGCAGTTCGTGGCCGGGAGAAGGCAGAGCTGGATCGCCTGTCCCAGATGCCAGCCTGGAAACGGGGACTTCTGGAGCGCCGCCGGGCCAAGCTTAGCCTGTCTCCTGGGGAGCCTAGCCCTATGTCTGGGACTTCAGAGTCTGGACCTCCAGACCCAGACGAGTCCGCTGTTCTTCTGGAGGCCATTGGGCCAGTGCACCAGAACCGATTCATTCGGCTGGAGCGGCAACAGCAGCAGCAGCAGCAGCAGCAGCGGAATGAAGAGCTGCTGGCTGAGAGAAAGGCTGGGCCTCTGGAGGCCCGAGATCGGAGACCCAGCCCTGGGAATTCAAGGGATCAGAGCCCCAAGGGAAGAGAGTCAAGAGAAGAGAGGCTAAGTCCCAGGGAAGTCAGAGAGAGGAGGCTCGGGATAGGAGGAGCCCAAGAGTCAAGTCCCAGGCCTTTGGAGACTAGAGACTGGAGGCAAAGCCCAGGAGAGGTGGTAGACAGAAGCTCAAGGCTGTCAGAAGCACGAAAATGGAAGCTAAGTCCTGGAGAAACTCCAGAACGGAGTATGAGGCTAGCGGAGCCTGGAGAACAAAGTCCCAGGAGAAAAGAGGTGATGGAAAGTAGACTGAGCCCAGGGGAGTCTGGCAACCAGAAGTTGTGCCTGACAGAGGCCCATAAATGGAGGCCTGACTCCAGAGAGTCTCAGGAACAGAATTTAGTACAACTGGAGGCATTCGAGTGGAGACTGAGCTCAGAAGACAGAAAAGACTGTTTGGATCAATGTAAGAGAAAAGAAGAGAGGACAATTCAAGGGATGACCCCAGAAGAGATTACAGAGTTATCAGAGACCCTAACAAGGGAGGCTCATGACAACATCTCCAGAAGAGTGGAGACAGCAGAACAGAGGCCCAGCCCTGTGGAGGATGGTGAGAGGGGCTTGAAGACAACTGAAGGGTGGAAATGGACCCTGAACTCTGGGAAGGCTCGAGAGTGGACACCCACATATATAGAGACTCAAACTCAGAAATCAGAATCTCCAGAGTCTGTTGAAAGGCATCTGGGGCCTCCTAGTATAGAGGCCGGAGAAGGGGAGGCTGAGAAGGAGGAGTCGGGGGCTCAGAGCAGGCCTCTGAGAGCCCTGCAGAACCACTGTTCCGTCCCCTCCCCCCTCCCACCAGAGGACGCTGGGACCGGAGGAGGCTCTAGACAGCAGGAAGAGGAAGCAGTGGAACTCAGGCCCCCACCATCAGCCCCTCTGTCTCCCCCACCCCTAGCCCCAAGTGCTCCCCAGCCTCCTGGGGATCCCCTCATGAGCCGTCTGTTTTATGGGGTGAAGGCAGGGCCAGGGGTGGGGGCCCCCCGCCGCAGTGGACACACCTTCACAGTCAACCCCAGGCGCTCTATGCCCACTGCAAGCCCAGCCACTCCAGCTGCCCCAGCCACAGGTGATGCTGCAGTTCCTGGGGCTGGGAAGAAGCGGTACCCGACTGCTGAGGAGATCTTGGTTCTTGGGGGCTACCTTCGTCTCAGCCGCAGCTGCCTTGTCAAGGGGTCCCCTGAAAGACATCACAAACAGGTAGGGGAGCAGCCAAGCCAGACTTCTTAGAAATCCACTTGCCAATTCTCTCTGGACTCTGATCTTTCTTGCTTTTTTATACCCTGTATTCTTGTCTTCCTCTATTCTTGTTAATTCCTGCCACCTCCCTTCCTCCCTCTGCACACACACCCTTCCTCTGGTAGCCCTCCTTTGCCATTCATTTTGGAGCCCCAAGAGCCTGCCTAGCAATCAACCACTGTGCCCGGGTGTGTCATTTTCAGGGTGTGCCCAGGCTGCTCATTCTCCCTACCCTCAGGCTCTGGGTTGTGTCCCCACCACCACCATACACCTTTCTTTCCTTTCCTCTGAGTTGGTGACCCACCCAGGCCCATGTGGTGGGAAAAGAGGGCAGTTTGCCAGGGTGAAAGCTCAGCTTTGGAGAGGAGAGAATGTAGAGGCAGCAGGCTTGGGAGGTGGAAGATAGGGGTCTGGGCTCTACAGAGAAAAGGCAGGAAGCATTGAGTGGGGGGAAGGTCTCACAGCCCTAGGAAGAGGAAGGCAGAGCTGAGTGGGGACATCCTTGGATAGAGGGAGGAGGGGAGATGGGAAGGGCTGGCTAAAAAGCAGAGAGAAGGCTTTTGAACCCCAAGTCTGCCCCATGGGAGAGGCATACACAGAGGCCATTTGAACAGGGTGACCTCGGGGTTGCACACCCCCAGCTGGGCCACTGCTTCAGACAGTGCTCCCTTCTCTCTTGGGACAAGAAAAGCCTTCTCCTCTTCCCAAATGCCCCCACCCCCCACCCCCCACTCCTCTGTCCTTCCTCCCTGGGCTTTCCCTCCCTCCCAGAACTGGCTCAGCCATGGTTTTCCCCTTTCTTCCTGACACTCTGCCCTCTCCCTCCCCTTGGGGTAGAAAAAGAGAGAAGTGCTTTCCGAGGCCCCGAGCTTGAACTGGCTGGGGTACAGTGGGAGTTGAGGACAGGGCGGGGACTGAGGCTAATAGATCAGAGGTTAGACTTGAACAAGGACATGCAGGGAAATGTGAGCAGCCAGGCTGATTTCTGGTCCTGGCTCAACTCCGTCCCTATACTCATCAATTAGTTTATAGCTTGAAAATCTCTAGGAGGTCTCAATCAGAGGTCTCAGAGCTAAAAGTCTATCCTTCTAACATGAATCTCCCCAGAGTTTGGGAAAACCCATCTCATCCTTATCCCATGTGTTAACACCTTTTTTTTTTTTTTTTTAATCCTTAATGTCAGTGAGAAACCACAAGGACTAAAGATCTAGGTGAAGCTCTAGGGGGAGGCACTAGATCCGAGTGCATCTTCACAGAAACTGAAGCTCCCATCCCTGAGCCCTGATACCTGGAAATCTACCTGAGACCTTTGACACTCTTCAGTGATGGGCAGATACAAAGGAGGGAGGACAGGAAATTCTCCTCGGCTGAGGTGTTCAGAAAAGTCACTTCCTACTGAGGTTGGCTAGTGCTTCCAGGAGGAGGCTTGTGCCTTTGGGGAATGAACAGAGGGAGGGAGGCATGAAGCTTTGGACCCTGAAGCTCAGGGACTATCTGAAGAGAACCAGGAACCCAGTGCAGAGCAGGACCAGTGATGGTGACCATACCTAGGTCAGGGAGTAGGGGGCCGGAAGCAGATCGCCCAAACAGGAAGCCTGGGGTGGGGGCCGGAAGGCTGGTGGGGCTGAGTGGGGAACTCTAGGCCATGGGCCTGCCAGAACTGTGCTCAGGATGTGGTGAGAGAATAAGGAAGCAGTCCAGCCGTGTTTCATTGGGGGTGGGGAAGAAGCAGCAGAGTTCCCTACACCCAGTCACCTCACCCTCTGTCCTCTTTCAGACCTTCTCCCCTCTCTCAGGGCCCTGCTTCTCAAGGACTGGTGTGCCCTGTCTCTGCTCACTGCCCCAACCCACTGGCTCAGGGATAGGAGGAACCATCCCCACCCCCACTTTCCCTAAATAACTCATATGTTTGCTGGCAACTTCCATCAAACATCCCTGCCATCAGGAGAGAAATCCCAGCCCTGCTGCTGAGCCCAAGGGATGGGCTGTGACTGGTCCCCTTTCCCAGAGGCCCCTCTGGCTGAGAGACCTGCCCCTCCCTCCCTGCCCCCCTTGTGACCTTATATAGCTGATGGGAGAGGAGTGAATGAGTCACCTCCCTCCCTGTCCGTCCCCCCCCTTGCAGGCTGTGCATTCCTGAGAAGCCCTGTCAGAAGATTGGTAGTGGTGGGGGGGGGGGTTAGAAGCAAGGCAGGAGGGGACAAACAAGCTGAGCAAATCAAATGAATCCTCTTACAGAGTGAATAATAAACTACAGAGATTGTTATCCTAAAATGGAATATGGAAGCAGAAATGGGTTCCCAGAAATTTTGATAACAGTAACAAAATTGGAAAGGATCC